TAATCGAATTTGAAATAGAGCGATTACGAGCACCATCGTTTTTTGAAGATCAGGCTCAGAGTAAATTATAGCACCATTGTCACAGAGCACTGAGCGGCTATTTCCGGTTTGTGTCACTGTCGCCATCGGTCTTGTTTCCCGTTATGCCCAGTGCACATTGCAAATTTTTATGCACTTGAATTATTTGACACTGTCGTGAGCCTGGCAGATTTTTCCACCACATAGAGACTTAAAAGTTATCGATTTGTCACAACTCGATAAAAACTTGCAAAAAGAAACGAACAACAGCTAAAAAAAAAAATATTTAAAAATCTCGCGAGAGGTGGAGAATTGCATTACCGAGGACTCATAAAAAGCTGTGAGCCGTGACAATGGGTTAAAAATTAATGACACACTTTCCTCTATGTAATCAACACACTCATAGGGCCCTCGTTAGGAATGTCTTGCTTTCTGTGATTGCACGCACACATACACAGATATATACACATTCACACATATTAATATAATAATTTTCTAGGCTTTACTCTGAACCGAAGAAAAATCTTATCTTTAAACTCAATGGTACCTTCATTTCTGAGTCCCGCCCACATTTTGATCCACCCACCGCCACTGTGCAAGCTTCCAATCGTAAGGTCAGAGAGTTTACAGTAATATCAAAGATTCTAGTTGAAAATCTTTGGTAATAGCTGCGACTGAGTCGCATGAAATTATGAGGTCAGGGTCAAATATTTATTTACGTGTGGAATTCAGCAATGGACGGGGGTGATTTGGAGTGGCTAATAGCAAGTTATTGAAATTTTTCATGTCTGTTGGATTTTTAAAAAATCAACACAACAACCATGATGTGTGGCAGTTGGTACTAAAAGTCATTATAATTGAAAGAATTGGCCGTATTGTGAACGCAGTATACCTACAACAACGCCGGACATAACCACTGCACCTTAAGTCTTCGATGACCAGTGACCAAAGTTGTCTTTGGGGCTATTCTGGGGTACATGAAGGGACATGTTGACTATACCGTTCCTTTTTTATGATTACACTGTAATTCAATATCAATTAATTTATTTCAACTTTAAATGATCAAAACATTTGAAAGACATATTAAGATTTCATACTACAGGCAGTCATTCAAAAAAAAGTACAGGGGCTCTCGTGGCCTAGAGGTTAACGTGTTGGCCTCTCATTCAAAGGTCCCGAGTTCGAATCCGGGTAGCGATATTTTCTTCTCTCAAATTGTCTCCTTTCACCTCATTTCCTGCTCTCTAGCAATGTTCTGTTGTCTGCTTTCATTTCCACTTTCTGCCCCCACCCTCTCACCTCCTTT